ACTAAATATGTTTTATGTGAGCAGAATTTATGCACTTCTCAAGAGTAGAACAAGTATAGCTAACATTAGCAGGCTAATTAGACATGCTATCTGCTCTGGCAGCTAGTCTGCAGTCAGTTGTTTAACACACCACTCATAGCTTACAAGTTGTGGTTTTAAAACACATGATCCTTAGGGATGATTTATGACACAACTTAAGTTTCCACAGCATGACTGTGCCTCATTCTTATTTTGGGTCAGCAAAGAAAACAAACGCAGTGTTGGACTGCAGAATCTACTCCATCACTCACATATGTTATTTGACCCAAACTACGAGAGTACTGGTGCAAATTATTCAGGTTTGTCCTTCATGCTGAAAGCTCAACCTGAACTGGATACGATTTTAATGATTCTAGGAAACCAAAAAAAGCTCAAGAAACTGAATAAAGCACAGCAGGGGTCCTCTGGCATGTGAAGACAAAAAGACATGAGACAGAACAGGAAGTAGCAGAGCTGATGCTCAGTTTCTCTCTGTAAGTAACAAGGTTGGACAGGATTAAGAATGAAGCCATCAGAGGCAGAGCACTGACTGGGAGATAAAGTTAGAGATGGTTTAGACATGCGAAGTGGAGTAGTGGTCGGTAGAAAGATGTTAGAGATGTTAAGGAAAAAGACAAAGAGGAAGGCCTAAGATGAGATATATGGATGGAGTTATGGATGACAAAGAAGTATTTGAAGTCAGGATTAAGGACATAGACGACAGTCAGATAGTTCACCGGGGAATTTTTCTGCCATAAATCGAAATCACACATTTTCAATTTGAAAGCAGGACTTGATGTCTTTTGTTCTCAAAACTTGTAATGCTTTACTCAACACTTCTGCAGATATTCACTGTGCTTCTCTTCGTCTTTTTATAATCCGGCTTTTATAATAAGATCCACACTGACTCAGTGTCTTGTACTGAAAACCTGACTTTGCTGCACACAAGTCAGCTTTTATTGAATTTATTAAAGTATTTTGAAATCCAATGACCCAAATCTTGTTTCTATAACTGAGGATAAATTTGTTTAATCGAGCCCAAAACCATTTGAAAACTAATTTTCTTTATCTTAATGCAGCAGAATCCTTTGTATGTTTGGCTCTACTATGAGACACATCCATCGCCTACAAAAACAATAAAATCAGACGGCTTTATTTGTGTGTTTTGGGTTTAACTCTTCTCATCCCACCAGTATGAGAAAATAAATTGTGAAATCAAAATAATCAGTTAATTTTGTTGCAGTAGGAAAATAATTTCTTCTTCTTTTTTTTTTTTTTTAAATACAAACACTCGCATCATGTCATACATTTTCAGTCAAAATTCTTCAATGCCACAATAAAAGCTTGTATTTTTACTCTTATCAAACCCAGGAAATCTCATATTCATCACACGGTTGCATTATATTAAAATTCTTGAAAGTGTTACCTGCTTTGCTCCCTGAACAAATGTTTGCTGGCCTCCAGTTCCCGGCGCTCACATGCTGCATTTTAATACATCTGAATCCTCATCAAAGCTCTCTACCATATTTTTTCCTGCTTTTGCAGTGGAATAAAAACAACACAGTGACTGTAAAGCAGCCCTCAGGGTCTACATTTTCACCTGCTATCACTCTCCAACCCACGTTTTGAGTTGTTTCCCTGCATTAATATCAGTTTTCTAAATTCACAACACACCATGCTGCCTGCTGAAATGACCACATAAACACAGCAGGTGGTTTGTTATTTCACTTACATACAGAATGAGAACCGGAAGTGAGAAAATGTCATTTCTTTCACAGCCCACACTGAATGGCTGGGTAGGGTAACCCACGAGATAAGGACTCATTCACATGTCAGCGGCTGTCTTCCTGTCAGCTGAATTTGTTGCTCTTCTGTCACTCACTGAGCAAAATGTAGAAACACACACAGCCGAAACTTACTGTGTTCAAAGCAGTTTCAGCATCTGAGTGATGACTGTACAAAGATGAATAGTCCTCTGGCTCTGCTCTCCGCCTGTGTGTTTGTGTGTGTGCTCTGATTCTCATGAAAGAGTTGCAACATTTTTCTGTGTTGGTTTTTGATGAAACAACGTTTAACAAAACCTTTAACTGATTTTCTCTCTATACTTGGGTGCCGCGCATGCAGTTGAGCTGTTGCAGTTTTCAGCACGTGTGTTATATAAAGTCAACCTTTTTTTAGCTTTACATCATGTTATAATGTTTATCCCACCTACCTAGTGTTGCCTTGATTCTTTCAGGCATGTTTGGGAAATCCTTTAATCTCGGTCAAGCGCTGCAAAAGGCCTAGGTGGATCTAGCCCCGCCTTCGAGACACAGCTCCTCCTCCAAGCTGCAGTTTCTGAGCTTCCACCTCACAGATCAGCCTCTCCTGCAACTCCAACACTCAGCTCCTTCAGACTAGCCAACAGCATTTAGCAAACAATCAGTTGACCTCAGTATACCAGTTACTTCTCATTGCAACACCTGTAAAAACATTATTGGAAGGAGGACTGATGTTGTGATTTCCTGGAGGTGGAGTTTCAGAATGAGCAGGAGTTTTTAAAGGGACAGAGGCCCAATTTTAACGTGTTAAATTAGGAAGAAAATTTTCCTTTAAGTCATACTTAATATATACAGCATTTATATAACAATTGAAGTTAATATAATTACTTGATTGTAATTGTACAATCAAGTAATTGTACTATAGTGACTCAACAAATTAATTTTCTTTCTATTTAAAATAAAATTATACCAGTCTGCAGGAGTGTATCATTTCAAAATGGCTTCTCATGTTGTTACCTGCTACTAAAATTTGATCTCTCTTTAATTTGCACATCAGGTCAGATATTTGCAGTGTAAATAGTCCAATTATTCTAAAGTAACCAGCAAAAACAAGGTGTGAGGATGGATATTCCCAGTGAGAGGTGTAATTGTTGGAGTTTTGTGAGGGCAGAATTATCGTAGCTGTCAGAAATGACTCCCAGAGGATCAAAAATAAAAGCTTTCAAAATAAAAAAATCACTTTTTGTTCAGATTGAGGGAGCTATGGTTGATTTTTGGATACACAAACATGTCAGTTAAGCAAAGGTCAGTACAGGTGGGATGTTGCTGCGTGGCTTTTGTCTCAGTGTGAGGTAATAGGTCTGTAGTCCCAGCTGGAGTCTTCCTGTGTGGGTTTTCTTGCTCATGGAAACAGAAAACATGCTTTTTGTGGCTGTTTGCTTTAAAATTGATCTTGAAAATGATGAAGTGTGTGCTTGGTCGTTTGTCCAGGATGTTCCCGTGTTGGACCTGGGATTGACTGATTACCTGTCTAGGATGTACCTCACAATTCCCCCTGGGAAAACCTGCAGCCCCGCAGAACAGCTGAGGAGTGTTTTCTCTTTGGTGTCGCTTCATAGTTTTACTGTCTGAGAAACTTAAATTGTTCAAATGCCTGGATCTGATTCTGTGTTGGTTCATTTGTTACTCAGGGTTTCTAGTTCCACCGTTTGGGATTTAAAACTTTTATGTTTTAATAAAAAATATTGGAAACATATTTTCATTTATAGACTTTGCTTCCGTCCTATTGTCTGAATATATTCTCCTTTCTAAACAAGGTGAGGCAGCGGATGGTTTCTGTAACTGAAAAACCAAACACAAGTGTCTCGTATCGATCTGCTGATAACTATTGATCCCGATCTATTTTTTTTTTAAATAGATGAAATGATTCCAAACTGGAATCATTTATTTTTAAGCAGTTATGAGACGCAGTGATAAAAACTTAAACTGCTGCTGCGCCAGTTACTCAACAGTCTGTTTCTAGGTAACCACGTGTCACTCAACACGCTGCTTTTTGCTAAGTAACCAAAAAGTGAGCAGTGAGTTGATGCAACCTTACTTAGCTGGCAGTGACAGGTGGAGTCTTCCTACATCTCCCAGTTTGGTTCTGGATCAGAGTCCAGTGAAATCAACTATCAGATGTATTATTTATTATTGATCACATGTCTATCGTGACACATATTGTTATTAATTTATCGATCAGCCCTAGTTGCTCCTCAACTTTGGAGGAAGCTCTCAGAAACCTGAGAAACTGTTGGCTGCTTTTAAATCATTTAATAAGAATCTTTTTTTTTTTTTACAGCAGGTTTTCAAAGAATAGGACCATGAAACATTTTGCCTGTTGGAAGCATTAGATTGTTGCTCCACCTCTGGAGCTACAGTGCTTGGATAAGATATAAATTTAAAACAATACTTCAATCTAAAGTTGGATACAAATTAGATATTTATATCTATAGTTTAACAAATTTCTTTTGTGTCATACTTTATGCTGTGTGATGTATTAGGCTCTCTAAGCCGAGTTTATAGGTCTTTGTTTTTCCTTTGATGTCTTGTAAATCACTTTGGATTAGCTTATGTATGACGAGCGCTATATAAATAAATCCTCCCTTCCTTCAAACTTTAGTTGATTTTATTGAGGTGTTGTTTAAACTGGATGTTCATTTAGTGAAGGGATTGTCTTTCACAGTTTAAAAGCTTATATATTCATCTGAATGTTTGCAAACATTTGCTATTGAAGTCTACAAGGAGTAATTATAACTTTTTCCTTTAAATCTAAACAAATGGATACATTTCCTCATTAGTGTGAATAATAGAAATAATTGCCTTGCAAACAAAATACAACAAATTTTTATTTGCCACATTAAAACAGAAGTTGTTAATTGGGTCCCTTTATGGGATCCAATTAAATGCAGTTTTGTTTATTATTCACTCCCAACACAATCTTAATCCAGTTGCATTCAGTGCAATTCTATTAAATTATAATCCAGACAAACATAATACTGTAGATATAAAGTCAGAAAGCGACCTGTCAATACCTTGGATTTCATGAGGTTTGGTTTTAAGGTTTATCATAATAAATGGTGGAATTAATGTATTATTTCTTTAATCCGTGATCCAACTAAAATTGTATCTTTTCAGAAATTAAAATAATCCACCCTGACTGATGATCTGTTGTGTTTCCAGTTTATAGGCACTTTTATCCTGGCCATTGGCATCTATGCAGAGGCGGAGCGACTGCGTTTTAAGACCCTGGACGGTTTGTTTTTGGCCCCGTCTATAATTCTCATCCTGTTGGGAATTGTGATGTTCGTCGTCTCCTTCATTGGAGTTTTGGGCTCACTGAGGGATAACCTGAAACTTCTGAATGTGGTGAGTATCTGTCGACTTTCTATGTCAAAATTTAAAAAGGAAAAACTAAGAAGTCCTGTGAACACGGTAGTTACTTTTCGTCCCATAAAATCCCGCTCTGTGAAGCGATCATTTGTTTAGAAACGCAGCGGATGTGCACACAACTCTAAGTGCTCTCTATTTACTATGGTTACCTGCATTCATCTTGGTGTTTTAGCATCAGCTAGCATGCTGTCAGCGTACTACAAGTGTTTATCAGAGTGATAAAATAAGTTATGCTGCTAAATTGACATTAATGAATGAGATGCGTCTTAATGACCCATAAGCTGCAGGCGAGTCGATAAATAACGAGAAAAAAAAACGGCACAAATGTCAGATATTACTTACATGCTAGCAATTTTGTTAACGGTAAGCTGATCAGCTCTCAATAAGAGATGTCGAGTCCTTCTAAATAAGACAAATGTATACATGGTGACCGACAAGGGCACAGGAATAAAGGGTTTTCCTGAGATTACAGAATTTAACAGAATTTATAGTTGGATAAATGATGGATTTCCCTCCTCTCTAACGAAATAGATTAAGTTAAAAGATTCTCGGTAAAAAAAAAAAACAAATTACATTAGAAATTCACCTTTAGGTTAACTTTATTTTGAAAAACACACATAGCCTTTTTCTTTTCTTTTTTTTAATGAAAAGTGATAGAAATAAACTATTTTTTTATATGTGGTGTCTTAATTGTTTGTCCTGTTTCTGAGCCATTTAATTCAGTTTTTTGTAGGACATTTTTCCTTTCTCTCCTTTGAAGCTGCAGCATTTCTGCTCGTCATGCTGTGTGTGCAGGCTCTGTGTCACAGGGCCATTTGATCTTATCTCTGTTAATATGCATGCCATAAACTGTCTGAGAGCTGTACTGTTCCTCTAAATTGGGTCAGTCATTAACATGATTCAAATTTACTTTTAACAATTGCAAATAGATTCAGAACTGTCACAAGTGTGATGCATCTAAAAATAAATAATTTCCCTGTGGTTAGCCTGCCTTATGTTTTTTATTAAGAACCAAATAACTACAATTTTTTCCTGTAATATTTAACAATTTTATATTTGAAAATAAACTGAAGGTGCAAGTTTACCAACAAGGAGGTTCAACGCCTCCTGAAGATATGAACAGCATTTCACAGGTTTTCTAAGTGCTCCCCTCCCATCAGGGTTATCTGTGTTGAATAGATCCTTTATCGTCTAAAAATGCTTTTAGCATCCCTTCATCAAATGCTTCTCTGAAGAATCTAATTTCTTTAGGTAGCTGCCCATCAAGGAGTATTGTGTAGCCTTCTAAACTTGCCAAGTTGCTCTGCAGCTGCCGAACAATAAAACCTGAGCTGCAGCCTCAATGCTCCATCTTGGATAAATGTGGTCAATTTTCACTCAGATTTGAAACTCTTTCTCCATGGGGGCCATCGACAAAAGAGGGTGCATTTCCAGTATAGAAAATTTCAGAACTGTGCTGTAATTGTTTGCCAGCAGTAGTTCGGGAGGCTTTGCCCTCTGTTGGGGACGTCCATACAGTCTCGTACTGCCGAACAGCAAGTGGCTCTTTGCTGCTTTGCTCACAGTTTAGATTTTCTTCAGGGTTTTGGAAAAATATCAAAATCTCTTGGAGGTTGTATTTAGTAAAGAGAAATGTTGTGGAATATTCAAAGACACATTTAAAGAGGAGACTGAAGGAAAACGGTAACTTGGCCGTCATGCCCACCGACTAGTATAAATATCTAAATAATTTTCTTCCTCTGTAAAAGATTATAATCAATGTTCTTAGTAGATTACCAGTAGGGATGCTGTTTGTTCTTTTTTTAAAGTTTGAAACACCTAGTTGACTTTATTTTTGATAAACCCTGTAGTTTGTGATCCTTCTCCAAATCCAATTTAGTGTTTGACCAGAAGCCGGTTTGTGCCACGACTCGGCCTGTCGCAATTAATCTATCAATCCTATGATCAATTAAGCACGACTGTGGCTGAGTGGCAGAGTTGTCGTCTTGCAATCGGAAGGTTGTAGGTTCGATTCCAGCTTCCTCCTTCTACATGTCGATGTGCCTCTGGGCAAGGCACTTAACCCCAAATTGCCTACCGGTCTGCATTTCGGTGTATGAATGTGTGCGTTTGTGAGTGCGAATGGGTGGATGTGACTCTTGTGTGAAGCGCTTTGAGTGGTCAAAATGTGCTATATAAGTTCAGTCCATTTACCATTTAAAGCGAGCTCAATAATTTCTATGATTTACTGGATGGTCTCAAATCTGGAAGTCAATACGTGGGTTAAGAGACTAATATTTTAATTTAAAGTTGTACGTATAAAGATGTTGTTTTATTGGTGATCCATGAGTGTTAAATGGGTTAAGTCTGAAAAAGTTTGGAAAACACTGCTTTACGGGTACCATGAAATGTTTCCATGCTGATTTTACACATTTATTTTCATAATTTTCATATACTTTCAGGTGAAATTTTGCATTATTTCAAAGAGTTTAAATGTAAGAACATTTTCCTTTTGCTTTCTGTATCTTTTAACCTCAAAATCCTTCCATTATCTATTGATCAATTTTTGGATGTAGACTTGTATGAACTTTCGACCATTTCTCCGGGATGTTGCTAGAATCTGCTGCTTTCTGGTTTCTCTTTAACATTTTCATTGGATTAAGGTCAGGACTATGATTTGGCCTTTTCAAATCATTAACTTTTTTATTTCTTAGCTGTTCTTTGCAACAATGCCTTGTGTGCTTAAGGTTATTGTCCTGCTGCATGACCCACTTTCTCCTGAGACTCAATTCACAAATATGAAACTGACATTTCCATAAAAATTTGCTGGTATTTTTCACATTTCAGTACACTTTTATTTAGATAATGACAGTTCACAACCAAAGCTGCCTCAGGGAAATTTACAAACAGAAAAAAAAACATCACATGTTCATTCATGCATGCATTTGGCCAACATCTTCTAACACCATGAAACAAAAACGGCCACCGGTTGTCTAGATTGGTTTGGTGAAAGAAAAGAAAGGACGTGAGCGAGAGGAGCAGCAATAAACAATAAGCACAAGGAAAGCAGAGGAAATGTTTGTATTGCATCACTGAAGGAACCCAAATAACTTTAGGATGCATTTTCTTATATGTAGCTAGTAGATGTGTATTTTTAACTCTTAGAAAACAAAGATTCTCCAATAAAGTTTATGATAAATCTGAGTTTTACCAAATGAAAACCTCTAAGCTTTCGAAACATAAAAGTAATTTATGTAAACTCTGACTTAAGACTGTTAAATTTTATATTTGATTATTATTTGGTGCAGTAACAGACTGCCGGCCCGTCCGGAACGTTAGCTGGAGATGGGCACCAGCAACTCCGACCCCACTAGAGACAAAGGTGTTAGAAAATGGATGGTTTATTTGGTGAAACAAATTCTGTCAAACTATTACTTTTGAAACTCTCTTAAACATAAAAATTTCCCTAAAATAACTCAGAAACTTTGTCACTGTTATTTTGTTCTCTTCAGTTCGACTAAGTTTTCGTCTGGAAAAATTTGAGTCTGTAGATAAAAATGCAGCTATAAAATTAGTTTTTATTTAGCTGAATACTCCACACTTCTTAGTTTTATTTTTTGATTTGTTCTTCAAGAATATTTTGTAAGGTTAGTATCATTTTTGTAAATTTCTGTCAGACTAAGTCAAAATAAAATGTTGGTTTGTATTTTGGTGTAAATCAAGAATAGCATATTTTCTTTCAATGTGTTAGATTTCCAGTCATGAAGGAATTAATACATGTAGGTGTGATTAAATACTGATTTAACAATGCTACGTTAACTTTGGTCCAAGAAACAGGAAGAGGAAGAAACTCTATGATGTCATTGGACCTTTAACAGAACAAAGGAAAAACTTGTGAAGATGACATTTGGAGAGGAAAGTTCAAATCTTCACTAGATTTACCAAGTCCCGCTGAACAATCAATCAATAAGTCAAATTTTATTTGTATGGCATTTCAAAGTGCTTTCCATCACTTTGAAAACGGGAGGTTGGAGATCGGCCTATTAATTTTATAGAGCTGAGGAAGAGATTCTAGAGGCATCTACTTTCACCGCCAGCTTCTAGCTTTGTACGAACCCTGATCAAACTTTTCAGCCGTTCCTGGACCGCAGCTGAAGATGCTACGCCTGCAGGCTGTTTATCATTCCTGCATGCCCTAGGCTAGCCTTCGAGGAAACCAAGTCGCTAGCCAGTAGCTAACAACTCTTGACACAGAGCCGATCTCGCCTATCTGTCGAAATTTGATCACAGTAGATACGGTAGCTGGGCAGTAACAGTAGCGTAGGATGATCATTTCTCCTTTTTCTCGTTAGTTTTAGTGGTTGTGTGTTGGTACCTCAGCAAGTTGGTTGAATAAATTGTTAAATCTGTGAAGGTAAATTAAGTTTGTTCATAAACTCTGGTATATTTAAGAGAAGTTGTGTTTATTCCATACGCAGAGTGTAGCTGCGTTTTATTATTACTTTAATAAAACAGGGAGGATAAATAACTTAAGGCCAAGTTCATTGGATTTATTATATATTTTATTTCTCTGTTAAAAGTGGTGTTTGATTTTGTAATTATTTTTTTTAACCTAAATTACGATTTTTATTGATAATTTCCATAAGGAATTACTATAGTTATTCACAGGCAAAGTGAAAAATACTCATACATTTTGATGCTATAAAGCAGCGATACCCTGAACAGGTTAGCAGTCTTTAAATATTTCACATTAAAACACCATTTACAAAACATTGTTTTTCTCTACCAAACCAGTGTTTTAATGGTAATTATGAATTTTTAAACAGTTCCACGAATCTCTTGAGACTTTTTGCTGTTTATTTTCATGCAGATTGATTTGGGAACTCTTTGCAATTTCTGCTTCTGAAGTAATTTTTGCTAATCAGAAGTGACTCTGTTGAAATACCTTCATTTATGCTCCATCTGGCGGATTGTTGATCACTGTAGAAAAATACACTTTGCCTCTTTCACATATGGAGAAAAAAACCTTCTTGGATGTCCTTGAAATGTAATTTCTCATGGTATTTTTCCACAAACAGGATGTAAAAATTAAATTAGATGCATATTCTGATGGCTTTATTTTTATTTTTATTGTAAACGTTTTGCAGTAAAAGCATGTTTATTACAAGATGTCTATATTTCAGTGCTTCAAAGCACTGAAACATAGAAGTTTACATTTGTTTATCACTTTTATTCTGCAATGCAAAAATCTTGATGTAGAAAGTTTCTTATTCGGTGAAATGGGATCTTCTTTATCTACTTCATAAAACATCTAAAGTATAACCTGGACAAGCAGACATAGAATGCAAATGAGAAGAAAGATTTGATGCAGATTGGGTAATTTATTTAAAAATATTTCAAATGCATGAAAGATAAATTCATCATTTCTACTCTGATACAAATCAAGAGATGGTGCTACTAATCAAAACACGATTTCCTGATCTGAAAGTTTCGCCCCCTCTCTGAGGTGATTTCGTGGGAAGCAGTAGAAGGAAAGAAACTTCAACTCAGACACAATTTTTTTCAGAAAATAATCATATTTTAGTTACTTATGCCAAAACTGGGTTCACAAGCTGTTGCATACAAAAACCCCCATTAGATTAACTTTTTAAAATTTTAATAATTTTGTGGAAAGAAGTAGAAGGAAAGAAACTTCAGCTTAGACGGAGGTTTTTCAGAAAATAATTATATTTTTGTTACTTCTGCCAAAATTAGGTTCACAAGCTGTTGCATAAAAAAAACCCATTAGAATAACTTTTTTAAAATTTTAATCAAAATGTTTTTATTCTTGCAGTAATCAGATTTCTATTGGAATATAACAAAGGTGGAATAATTGCCTTTCCACTGTGACTTTATAGCACTGTTTAAAATAAAACCTTAGTATGCAGAACAATTTTGAAGGTTTAAAACTTAAAAGGTTCTGTTGAGAAAGCGGAAATGAATTCAGTCTCCAAAGAGAGAGTAAGAACTGTAGCAGATGGGCATTTTTATTTTGAATTTGTTATGCCTCGTTGACTAATTTCTCTCCTGTCTTTGTTTTGTCCAAGTTCATGTTCACCCTGCTAGTTTGTCTGATCCTGGAGCTGCTGGGAGGAATATTGGGACTGGCGTTTCGCAATCAGGTGAGCTACCTGCGGTTTTAGGTTTTTAATTTGAAACTGATTGGACCTGTGAGGGTTATGTAGCAGAGAATCAGACAGTATGCAAATGTTAAACAAATCAAAGTCATTATCATTTGCACGTTATCAGTTTTTCCTTGTTTCTTGACGCAGCTCTGTGGCATTGTCTCCATTGCAATATCCTCCTGTCGTTTTGTTTCTCAGTTTATCTTCTCATTGCGTAACAGCAATACATCCAGCTAGAAGTAAATAATGCAAAGTGATTTTATTTGTTTGCAACCAGAACAACAAAAGCTCCTGTCCACAAAACAAACAGCTGCCTGCTCTGAAAGTAAGAGCAAGAAAATGCCTAAACTGTCTAATATGTTTATGGTCTGTGGAGGGCAATATGAGCCATGTTGGTTTTCTTCCACACAAAACATTTCAACAAGGGTCAATGATTAGTTGTAACGATCAACTTTATCTGAGAAATATTTATTTTAGATGCAGATACTGTGATAATTCTGTAGGTTGCTACAATAATTTCTTACTGGACACTTATCCATCAGACGATCACCAAAGTGTCGGAAAAAGGAACGCCACAGCAGCTCAAGATCCAGTTTGAAGATTTATCTTAACCATGTCCGCTGCTGTGTTTCACCAAGTCAACAGTCAGCGCAGCCGCCTGTCAATAAATGTCAAAGCAATTCATGCTTCCCTCTTCTGTGAAGCTTTATGGAGTGTTTTGGGATTTGTTTGTTTTTGACAAACAATAAAAACAGCTGGGATTGGCATCTGCCCACACAGTCACCAGAGCCAATACCGAATTCAATAAAAGCATGATTTCTCTGTGCTTCATCTGCCATCAAACTCCTGCATTAAACCCCAAAGAGAATCTGTGGAGTATTTATTCTGTGGACTATTTAAATCTGTGGAGTATTTTAATCTGTGGACTATTATAAACAGGATCTGTACAGATCCTGACTTCACATAAAGTATATCTGCAAGATTAACACAAATGAATTAAAGAAACTAATAATTTAATCAAGGCCCAGAATAAAATGAATTAAAAGAGAAGGATTTATTAAAAAACTAAAAGTTACTATGAATATTAAAAACAATTGTACTTCAGTTAGAGAATTTCAGGTGGAGAGTTAAAACTTCAAATTTAAAGATGTCCGATAGTAATTTCCTAAACAAATACAATAAGGTTTGACGTTTTCTTTTATGAGTTAGTCTTCAGACCTCTCTGGAATGCCTTAGAGATGTTTAAAAAATTCAGGAAAGGTTTTCCTGCTTTTGATTTTGATTGTGCTTTATGTATAACAAAATGAAGGCATAATTAAGTTTGTGCTTCTACATAGTTTTTTATATTATTTCTGATTTGTTAAGTGTTGTTTATCTATTTGCGCACTAGTTTTGTCTTGTTTGTGTGTGGGAAAAGGTTAAAAACTGACTGAAAATTATCATCTTCACCAGTCTTTAATTCTACTTTTAAGTACTTTCACCAAGTATTGCCTTTTCTGTTATTTCAAGGTAAAGCTGTAACTCAGTCAGTGGCAAATTTATTATATTAGAACCAGCATTTCCTGCTACATTGTTTAGGATTAAAATAACGCAGTGCTGCATTACAGAAGCCAGACTTCTGTCATTTTCTGGTTATATAGATGTCAATTTCTCTACATTTTGCTTTCAAAAATAATTTCAATGCTCCAATGCACCGCACACTGAGACTACAGTTAGCGTTTTTATTTTTTTTGTATAAAATGCAGCAGAGTGATTTTGAGTGAATGTAACCTTCCTGTAGAGATATCGTCGTAATATTTTCTGGACAGACTCTCCTAATGTGAAATGCATTTGTGAGGACCGGCTCAGATAAAAATTAGAACCTAATTGTTTGTGCATCACCAGAAACTCTTCTGTGATCAGGACAGTTCAGTCTGAAGTTAAACATTTTCCACTCTTGCTGTGTTAATGCAACCTCTTCAGACTTTATCGTCTGCACCAGATTGTGACTGACAGATGTGAGGAGTCAGTGTTGTGCTTTAATATTCCAGCCGGGGGAGATCAGTCACCTTCACTAATCGGCATTTGGTTGCTCCGACTGCAGATCGGCTGCATGAAAAGCCCGAAGCCGTCCACCTCATTAACAAATCCTAACCGCTTTTTCTTTCTTCTCTCTCATAGACTCTCGGCTTGGTGAACAAAAACATCAGTAACGGCATAAAAAACTACTACGATGACCTAGACTTCAAAAACATCTTGGACTTCGTCCAGAAGAGGGTAAGGTGATGGCTTTGCTAACGTTTGAGGAAACGCAACGTATGGTGACATTTTATTGGAAGGAGTGTGGATAAGACTGACCTTAACTCCCATGTTAAATCCCCCTGGATGTCCCCAGTCATAAACATGACTATGCTCATCCCGGGTCGACTTCACGACAGGTCCACTGAATTTATTTTAACTAAAGAGGAAGTCAAGATGGCGGTTAAACAGAAAAAAGGGGGCGGAGCCATCGGTTACCGGTTGCTACAGTAACTGGAGAAACATCTTGTTGACTAAACCATATAGATCCAAAGGATAAATGAACACATTCTGACAAACTTTATATTTGTCCTACGTTAACACTGCAGCCGAAACGATCCCATTTTCTGTCAAATCTGATTTTTTTTTTTGCCCTTCACACTAATAAAAACATGCGACCTGTAAGCGATCTCCAGTGTGAACAGCAAACGACCTGAAAGAAAAAAGCTCTTATTCTTCTCACTTATTCTTATTTATATTACTAATCAAGAACAAACTTTAGATCTCGAGAAACTCCTATTAGTTTAAATTGTGTAGTAGTATTGTATATATTTTTTGTTGTTACCCTTACCTCTTTTTGTTGATTTTGTTGTTTTGTTTGTATTTCCTTCTATTTCATATAAAGCACATTGAACTGGCTTGTTGCTGAAAATGTGCTACATAAATAAAATAATCTGTCCTCACCTTTATGTTTGACAGTGTTATGTCAGTCTTATGCACTTTATTGCTACCCAATGTGTCTTAGTAATCAGAGTAAATAAAGCAAGTGATCTCTTTTGTCTAACATGTTCAATGCTCCTGCAGCACACAGTGCAAGCCTGTTATGACCGGAAAGGTGCAGATTTATTACTAAAACAGGATCACTGATGTACTTAAATGTCCGCAGCATGTTCTGTGTTTAAAAAAAGAAGAAAAATGGTCCAAGCTGTGTAGCGCCGCTGCTGTGCACCTGCTCTCAGAGCCATGCTCACAGCCTGAAGCTGTAGCTCTCTTTTTTTATTATTAGCTTTTATAAAGCACACAAAGCTGCAGTGCCTGGGGACGGCACATTGAAGCCACACTGTGGTCAGCAACAAGCTCCACTGATTGGTAGAGACGCTCAGTCTTAGTTATCCGAGTGAAGACAAATGCTCTTTCACTCAGAAAACTAAGGGAATTAAGTCGTGACCAGCACCTGGGCCTTCATTAAATTAGCATTCAAACGCCTCCAACACAGATTTTTATTGAGATAAATTAGCCTTAAAACCTGTACGATTGAAAACCAAACGAATTCCTTTGACATAAGGGAACAAAATATTCACGAACCAGCACGGCATTTCTCTGAATGGTTATACGACAAAGGGGGTGACGTTTAACTTTTCTTCCACAGCTACTTACACCTGAGTCATCAGGCTGACCTTTAATGCTGTTGGCAGTAGGACTAAGCTCAGCAAATACCTCCGCTTCTTTGTCACCATTAATAACGAGGCTTATTTTTAAGATTGATCGGCAGTGTCCTGGGCTTTAGGGGAGAAAAACTGCAGATGTCGACTCCAGATAAAACGACAGCTGCAAGGCAACTTGTTGGTATTGATTGCATTGCTGTAAAGACTGGACTATGAGATTAAATACTTGGTGTACAGAGAAGTGTGTCTGCACATGGAACGATGTTTCACATAGTTTGAGGGGTCGTGTCACGCAAAATTAACTTCCATGTGGGTTTCTAGTGCTTCTAAGAAAAAAAATTAAAAAAACACCCAAGTGCTTTAAAAACACCCACCTGGTTTTTGGCAATAAGTAAAAATGTTTTGTGTGAAAATTGGGCTGTTTTAAAAATTTCTACAAAGTCAGAACTGAGCCTATTACCTAGCAACCCAGGCTGAGCCCAGCCCGTTGCCTCCAGCTTGTTTGCTCTGCTGGTTTTACCGCTGGATGTGCTGTACAATGGCTGCTGGAAAAGACAACTGTTTCGTTGTTGACTTACCATCCAGAAACCACATGCTGCGTGCTTGCTGGTTGTGCAGAAGGCTCTACTTCTGCTTTTCAAAGATGTACAGTTGTATAATTGTGCATCTGTTTTTAGCCATTTTCATGTGTGAATGCCAAAGTTGAGTTGGGGTCAGTTCTAACAGTTTATTTGGATTTAAAGTGACAAAAGAGCCTAAAATAGCTCTTTGAGCAGACTAAGATCTCATTATCTAAGAATAATTCTGTGCAAAAGTGTAATTAACATGTTTTATTTTCCCCATAGACAAATCCGAACTTGTTCAAGAAGGTCCAGTAGGTCACCGTTAAATGACTACACTGGAGAACAATTTGTTTTTTTGTGTTTCTATTTTAATTAATACACCAAAGGTCAGAACCAATCAGATTTTTTTTTCTTAATTTCCTCTTATCAATTTTTGGCAGGTCAAAATCAGAAGTATTACTATTTTTATGCAGCAAAAGTACTTTCTGATTAAATTGTCAAAGTACATTTCAGGAGCACATCGAATGTGATATGCCTACTTCAAGGTAGAAAACAATACAGCTTACAGTCAGATGTCTATCATTTATTTTCTGTTATTTTATTATCTGTGATTTGTAGTCTGTTGAACATTTGCTAAAAATATGTTTGCTGATGAAGCAACCTCAAATAAAAATCAACTTGTTATCCTGTTTATGTCCTCTAAGAGTTTATGTCAGATGTTTGAATCTGATCTGTTACTGTTGCCTGTAAGACTTAATGACAAACCTGTTTCTGTTGAATAAAACGGCTAAATTGTCTAAAACATTCTTCCTTCAAACTGTTCGTTTCTGGAAAATGTGTCTTTAAAATGAAAATTTTACAGGATATGCAGTGAGAAGCCATTTCTTTTGGGTACTTGTAAAATAGTCTCCACGTCTTTGACTGTGAAACAGCTTTGAAAGGAACTAATGGGTGCTATTATCCCATCACCTTTCTGTTGTCAGAATCCTTTTTCTCCTCTAATAGCCGCTTTTATTTTTCTACGGTGTTCGGAGTTTCTGCTTTTGCAACCTTTCACTTCACGTCTTAACATGATGCTGAAGTTGAACAGTCACGTCTCAGACAAGATGTCAATATTTATGAGGCAAACAGATTTTTTTTACACCAAATGTGGACAGTTTTATTTATTTTTTAATCATAATTGAACACTAACAGATGCCAGTCTTTGGTCACAACCCCTAAGTGCCAATTGGAGGTTGTGTTATCCATAAAGCATCTAACATGTAGAATGCAAATGTTTTGCTAGGTTCCTCATCAGTGTAATATGTGCACAATTTTAGAAGATAATTATTATGACTTGTAATGTTTTACTTTTGTTAATCACTTAACTCAACAATTACTATTTTATTGCAGGGAAATTGAGTTTTAGTGCCATGTTAAAAGAAAGTTATTGTTTTTAGCCATTTTCATAATTTCACTTTAAGCGAAATTTTCACCAACCAACAATTCTTTATTTAAAATGTTTTAATAATCTAATATTTCCATCTTAAATGCTGTGTATTCATTATCTACGACTCATGAATACAAAACATTCATTATTCATAAATGCTGTGATGCATTTATCAGACTTTCTGAACTAAATGAACTAAATGAGCTTTCCAGTATAACTTAATTTTTCTAGTTATTATTCTTTAAAACTGTACCAATTGGAGAGATGTTGCTATTAGGGCTGGGACTCCATTAAAGTTTTTTATTAAGTTAGTTGGAGGGTCTGCAATTAATTAATCACTTTCCAATCAAAGTACATATTAACAAATAAGCAACATTTTCACTTCAAAAACCCACTTGCTGATAAATTATTAAATAAATAATAAATTAAGTAAGATATTTATTGTTTTTAATTAGTTTCTTAATCATCGGATTGTTGGAAATTGTCATTCTATCAATTTAGCTTTCCCTAGTTTTTATATTTAAATTTAAGTTAGCACTTTCAGATTGTTTTTGAAAACATTTTTACTTACAAACATTTTTCCAAAACAACTTCAAGCACTTTTCTGTAGTTATGTAAGTAAACTGTTAAATAATTTTTTAAAAATTGTCAAATTGCACACTTTTTGCTCATTTTTCCACTGATAAAACTGTTTTTGTGTTGTGTCCCACTATAAAATGTGGTCCTACGGGAGTTTTTCTTGTGGTGAATCTTGCTCTTCATTGAAATCTTGTTTTCTGATGAAGATCCCTTCCTGTTTTTAGACCATTAATAATAAAAACACTGTGGTTCACCATTTTAGAATATAATTAAACGAACACTAGCCATAGAATTGACTGCATCACTTTGCAATTTAGGCTTAGAAAACATTTTTTAGGTAGTTTTTAGTCTGAATCCTCAGCAAATGTCACAACAACCCATTTAGGCGTTTGGAGAAAAACTTCACTCTGTTTTGTGTCTTGTTGAATGCAGAGGGACCATGCATATTTATAGGCCAATTTTAAGGTTAGAACAGAGGTGACCTTCAGGTAAAACAATTAATTAGGGCATTTTATAAGAGGAAGCAATGTCTCTCATTAAAATGCAATAGCCAGTGTTGTCTGCATGTATTAAAATGCATCAGATAAGTAACGTAGTCATAAACCATTTTTCTATCTGTACTTCTGATTTGATTAAGTGGACGGGCAACTGTCTCTCAGGAAAGTACGGCTCTGTCTGAAATGATCAAATTAAGTTAATCAAAATGACATCCGTCGGTTCAATTATACTCTGCACCACTTTTCCAAAGACATAGCCCATCGATAAACAGTTCTGATACTTGTGTCTCGTGTGGATTTGACCATCAGACCTGGACGTGGATATGATTTTCTAACCTGAACAAAGCCAGAGGATATGGTGTTTTCTTACTGTTGACTTCAAACACATTATCGCATACTCAAATTACAGGAACTAAGGGCGGCTCTTCGGTTCAGTGTTTTGACAGGACAGTCAGTGGTTTACTCTTCTTGTGGTTTTGAGCAGCTTTTTATCCAAGGATGATCAAACGATGTCTGACTTGTTTTA